GCATTTTAGGCAGAGACAGCAAACACTGGTATCTTACTATTAATCCTGCCGATTACACAGAGGGATTACCTGGGAGTAACAATGATCACGATCAGGTTCACGGTCATTAAACCACCCATTTACTCACTCAGCTCGAGTATACGATATTATTAGCAGGCTGACTTGTCATCAAGACCATAACAGTTTCCAGTTGACTTTGGCTTGTGTTTCCACAACTGAGAATTAAAAAACACTCGCATGGAAGATGCAGAAAGCCACGGATACTCTGATCAGTGGGACAAAATACAGGATCACAAACAACTTTTTACAGGTGGTGTGGAAAATGATATTGCCGCTCGATATCCCTTGGGAGGATATCTGCGTGGCATCCTTCAGGAAGGGCTGTCTGTATCATCAGCTCCGGGGAATGTCACCGCAAAGCCCAGAGTACAGAGCGATTCAGCTTAACGTGTACCTGCAAATCTGTGTCCCGATACTGGCAGTGCGGCCCGATCGCTCAAGGAAGGAGGACACAACCCAGCACATCCTCCGACGCATGGTTCCGGCAACACATGCCAACTGCCAAGGGCCCTGAAGGATTTTTTTAATCATACGGTAACATACCTTATCCTGGACCAATACATTAATAATATGTAAGTGTGACTCTTAAACGGGGTTTTGATGGGTTGAATGTTTGCACTTACACCAAGAGAGCAGAGCGAGCCTGTCGTTCCACCTCCTGTCTGGGCCGGGATTAAGGACACACTCCCATTTCCAGATCCAGCCAGGCTGGCTATTTAAAAATCAGCATTTTCCATTCTTTCAACTAACCCCACTTACGTTGCCTGAAGGTGACAAAGCAGCGTTTGCAGTCACTCTGCCAGCAGAGCCTTGGGAACAGGAACTCCCAGCCACAGGTCACTAACGCAGTCACGTCGCGAAACAACAGCAGCTATTTGTGAAATGGATGTGTGCCAGGAGCCGGAGAGACGCTAACACAGCATGGACGACAACGGTAGTGCTGCCGGGGCAATCGAGGGGGAGCATCTCCCCCAGACCACAGGGAAGAGCCTGTGTGTGAAGAGGCGACGTGAACACACATACTTGTGTACTCCAGAAGCCCCTGGAGCAGGAAACCTGCGTCGAGCTCCAGGCAACAAGTCCAGGCTGAGAAACGAAGAACAAATTCATTTCCAGAGTCCCCTCCGCAGAGGCAGCGTGGAGCCCCCCCACGGGCTGTGGCTCGGGCAGCTCTAGAGGCACTCGCTGGCAGAAGGAGGTGGGGTCCCAGGGGTGCGCACAGCAGAGTCCTCGCACGGGGCAGGACGAGTTGGCTGGTGCCTTTTGCAGTCAGATGTTTTGCTAGAGCTATAAGGATTTTTCTGGTTTTGTTTTTTTTTTAATGCAGGAAGGGATTATCTGCCAAGTCATCCGTTTCCCATCCCAGGTCTGGAAGTCAGCTGCTAAGGGAAGTTGGCAGCTGCAGCATGAGGAGAGGTGCAAAAAGCTCAATTTTTTAAGTATTTCTATGTCCCTCAGGTAACTGAATTTTCTTCTTCCCTTTACTTCCCAGCCAAATGAGAGAAAAAGAGAAAAGCCTCTCTGGAAAACCCTGTATAAGACAAGTGCCACATCCAAAAACATGACACCCCCCCCACACCCCACACCCCTCCCAAGCCTCTACAGCTGAGTGAATGTTCTCTGCAGGCACCAAGCTGTCGGGGACTGCTCCCAGCGCGTGAGCCAGGCTGAGGAGCAGCAGATGGGAGAGCTGATGCACTTGCTGCCCACCCTTCTCCTCTCCTGGAGGTGACAGTCCCAGCCCAGGCCGTATTGCCACCAGCAGAGCTCTCTGCTGACATTCATCAGGCCAGGTAAGGGGTTTGAGGTCACATCCAATACTGCCTCGTAGCAAGAGCAGCAGAAACTCCCACGCATGGCTGGGGTGAACAGCCAGGGTTGGCACCCGATTTAGCTATCCCAGTTTAATGTGCTTCTCTCCAGGGTTAACCAGGTGTCCCCGTTTCTCCTGCCCTTGCTAAAAGCAAATCCAGACCACACAGGGGCTGCAGGAGCAGTTCCCCGTGGTGGGGCTGAGCGTAGCGGTGCAACAGGGTTGCCGATCCTCTAACAGAGCAGGTGGGGACGGGACCTCAACTGCACCATGAACTGCTCGCTCGGATTACCCTTATTAGAGGTGAGCTCCACCAAGCCAATTCAGACGGCAATTACCGACTGCGCGTGAAGAAACTGGTTTCAGGGCTTCAGACAGACACACCCCAAGAGCAGGTAGTTGAAGGCTGGAAGAAGCAGGTAGAAGTGGAACGACAAATTGTCCTGTGTACTCAGCAGCATCAGCTCCCGCAGGCAGAGCGCCCTGCGGGCGAGCCGTGCCCCGCAGGCACTGCCCGGGACTGTCCTCAACATCCCCTGGAGAAGATGCTGCAGAGGCACTCGGGGTGCGAGGAACGGGCGCTCGGCCTCTGTGGAGGGGACGTCCTGGCTGTGACCGTGCTGCGCGCTGGCGGCGAGCGCACACCCAGAGGTCATCCTTTACAGGCTGGTCCAACTGAGGAAGTTACAGGCTCTATTTTTAACTCTAAAGTTTAAATAATTATAATTTTTTTTTTTTTGCATCCTATCCTCTGCTGATCCCTTCCTTTCCCAGCAGCCACTTGAAAAATTCAACCAGTTAAAAAGGGGAAGAAATTTGTTTTCCTCTTTCAGAAATGGTTAACTTCAATGATGCAATTTGCACAAAGGACTTTAAACATCAAAACTCTATTGTCTTTCCAGTCACAGCTTTTAGAGTATTTCATCTCTTTAGTCAAATGAACGCTACAAAGGAAATAATATGCTCATGTCATAAACATCACAAACTATGAGGAATATAGATCTTTGGAAAAGAGAGAAATGCATTCATTGTTTGTCATTATACTATACTATAGTCAACTGCACCAGTAAAACAGTCCATAATGTTCATTCAAACATACATCTTCCTATAGAAGTTATGTGACTGTACAATCTACCTTTCTACTTTGCACCCTAGTTCTACACATGGTCAATGAGGATCGATATACAATAGTTCTACAGAGAAATCACTGAAGTGGATACATAAACGGGCCCTTTCGGAGTTAAGTAAGATTTTCAATAGTTCCACAATGCTACATTCATGCTACCAAGTTCACTGAATTGGGATTTTACTTTAGAAAAGAGAAAGGAAGAACAGTTTGTCTGTCTCCAGTTAGGAGCATAACCATAGGAGGTAAAAGGGTCAGAAAGGGGGAGAGTTTTGTGTCAGCATTTTAATCCTGCCACTACCATTTCCTTCTCCAAATAACACATGACTTCGTGCTTTCATCACAGCTACAGCTCCCACCTCTCACAAGCACAGCTGGCGGAAGCTACCATGCTAAATAAGATAATTGGCATAAATTTTGTTTTCTTTTTTATATCTAGCATTTTCTTCCAAAAGCTACAGACTGGTGCCTATTATCCCCTTCACTACAAGTCTGGAAAACATGACCGAGTCAAGAGGATAAGAGTCCAGCCAGGGATGAGACATAGCTACCAAACCTCCCAAGGTCAGGCCAGCTCAGCAGGGCGGCTTCCCAACAGCTCCGAACCAGAGGGGGAGGCTACAGCCCACACCTATTTGGTTCAATATGTTGCTTTCAATGACTTTCAACCATCTCTCTCCACCTCTTTCTCTCCTTCCTTACTATATGTACATTATTTCTTCAAAAATTTTGCTTTAAAACTGCAATAAATG